CATCAACATTAAAATGCCACATTAAAAAATTCAAAACTGTGTTTCAACAAACCTGCCAGCTGACTCTTGAGGATAAATTCTCAACTATAAGTCGATTTTCTGTTCTTACAGGTGGAGCATTTCTAAGGAAGAGAGTATTCACGTATCAGAAATGCAGTGCTACATACAGTGACATGAGTTTTTTACTGACAGGTGTAAGCAGAGATGACAAACATCTTCAGGGTCCTGGTTTGTTCTCAATATATGGACTCATCCATGAACAGCCAGTCCCTTAACATGGACTAACTAGAACACACAGTTAAATCCCAGAATCATTTACTGCTAATGCTTCCTGATCCTCAACACTAGCAGTCAATCACCACATACCGTCTATCATTTCGAGGTCTGCGACTACTAAAACGGTCAGAGTAGCGTCCTCTACCTCGTCCACCTCGAGACCGAGCCCGGGCATGTTCAATGGTAACCCTATGAACAAAAGAAGAAAAACACAATTATGCTACCTACAAGATCCACTTAAACACAGCAGCTGACCTAGTTTCCTCTGGGCTAACTAGTAACAAAACTTAAGATTCTTACCTCTCACTGCAAAGTTCTTTTCCATCAAGTTCATAAACAGCATCATCTGCATCCCTTGGGTCCTCAAATTCCTAAAATAAGAATAAGACTCTTACTAGACCTTTAGACATGCATTCTATAATATATTAAGATTACTAAATCACAAGACCCACGCAAACTGAGACAAAAACTCAGCACAGAATTGTGGAACTAATAAGCAGCAGGCCCCAATCTTAGCTGAAGAATTGTTGGCAGCTGATGACTGCTGGGTGAGGAAGAGCTGATCTTAAAGGGAGGGACTCTAGATAGGCTGACTTGAACCCAGTGGATGAACTTGCACTGAGGGACATCTGGGGACGCTAACTTTACATCATAGGCCTTAACACAAATGACAGAATGTATGAACTCCAGTGGGGGGTGGGAGGGGAGCATGCCATGGGAAGGGGGTATAAAGATGGGTTTTCTGGATGAAATACACCAAAAAAATTCAAACATTATTTTAATCCTTAACAGCCTTCACTGCCTCAAGGTTCGTACAACACTTTCTGGACTCAGTTCAAAAACCATTGCTGCCAGGCATGGTGGTACAGGCCTGGTCTAGTAAGTTCCAGGCCAGCTGGGGCTACAGGGAGACCCCGTCTCAAAAACAAAACAAAACAAAAAAAAACCACGTTGCTGATCACAAAAGCTTTCCCTACTTCTCCAACAGAGAATTCCTTCAGTTCTGAATACTTACCACAAAACCAAAACCTCTTTTCAGGTCAATATCTCTGATTCGTCCATAGCCCTTGAAAAATCTCTCCACATCTTTCTCCCTGGCTGCTGGATTTAGCCTCCCGATGAACACTCGACAGCCACTCATGATGCCCGGTTAGTATTTCCTGTTACGAAAGAATTCAATTCAGACAATACCAATGAATGGCACAGCGAAACGTGCAGTCAAGCAACCCACACAGGGAAAGGAATAAAGACCGACCCCCGGCACTGTGACATACGCGAAGGCCGAGGGTGCGCCCGCTCAGCTCAGAGCCCTTGGCACCCACAATTGGCACGACCGCGTCCCAGGTTCCACCCCGCGGCCAACCGCAACGCCTACTGCCACCTCTCTAACTGCGCAGCCGCGCCGGCCCGACTCCCGAGCCCCCTCCCATCTGCCGCAGTTCGGAAAAGCCGAGAAGCGCGGGCGGAGCCGGCCCCGCCCTCCGCAAGGCCCTGCCCAATGGCCGCTGGCCGCGCGCGTCACCGGGGCTGGAAGTCAGAATCTCGCGACGCCACGGCCGAGCATGCGCAGCTGGCCACACGCAGGCGTCCGCGGCACAAAATGGCGGCGGCGGCCGCGGGGGAGGGAGCGCGCGGCGACTCTCCTCTTCACCGCCCCGCGCCATAGGCCCGAAGTCCAGGGAGCCCTAACCGCTCCGGGCAAGGCCGGGTCACAGCCCGAGTGGAGGGGACCCGACGACGAACACCTAGGGATGGCGGGGAGGGGCGCTCCGCCCGTCCCCACACGCCCGCCCTTCCGCCCCAGAACCCATCCAGCCACACCAAAAGGGAGACGTGCCCCCGCGCCCACCTCAATCAACTGCGCTCACTAGACGCCGTCCTCCGCCAAGAGCGCAGCCCCGGTCGCTCGCGACCCGAGCGGCCATGAAGAAGCCGATCCGAGAAGCCTTGCCCTCAAAGCGAGCCACTCACCTACCGGACAGGGTCTTTGGCGGCGGAGACCCGGGGAGGTCCGTAGTCTGCGACCGAGCTGTCCGCCTCCCCACAGACCCGCACTCAACTCGTCTACGTCTCTCCACAACTGACGCACTTAGGGCTCGGGCGTTCCACAAAATGGAGGGCGCGTCCCTGCGTCACTTCCAGGGCGGCCCCAGAGGCCGCCGCCGGGTTGGAACCCAGAACGGAAGTTTCTCTGGATCCGGAAGTCCTGGCGGGGCGGGGTTTCCTCGCCGTGACCCAGGCGGCGACTTAGGGGTGGTGGTTAGAGAAGTTGTATCTGTTTGCTGTATGCGGTTGGTTCTTCAGCTTCTCAAAATATTCTGAAATAAATGGCACAGTCTTGTGTCTAAAGCTTTTCGAAGATGACGGGATAAAAGAAATCCAGTTTTTGCAAGAGCATGTGATTCTTAAAACTTTATTTAGAGACATTATCTCATTATGTATCCCTGCTTTGAACTCGCTGAAACCCGCCTGCGTCTGCCTCTTCTGTGCCAGCGTTGCAGGCCCGATTTTCCTGGCCCTTTTCTGCAAGTGTTTTTAAGGATGTGCTTCAAAGCAAGGCTGCCCCTTTGATGCACAAGTGAATTCTTTTTTAACCATGCCATGGAACGGTGTGCGTTAGTTGAGAGAAGTCTAAGGAGCTGAATTATTTATTTCAATGAAGGGATTTTACATGATGAAGTGAAATTGGGATTGCAGCTTAAAAACATTTTTTAAGTGAGGTCCAAAAACAGATTTCTGGGGGTGCTGGTGAAATGGCTCAGCAGTTAAGAGCACTGGCTCCTGCAGAGAACCTGGGTTCCATTCTCAACACCTACATGGTGGCTAACAACCATCCTTAACTCCAGTTCCAGAGGCTCCAACACTTCCGTGGGCATTGCACAAGTGCACTTACACATATGCAGGCAATTCACTCATACACATAAAATAATAAAAAAAAATTTTAAAACATTTCTGTACCTCTCTTGGTCTCAACTAGAAAAGTTTTCAAGCTACTTTTGATTGGCAGTTGGTTAATCTTTCCTGTCAGATTTCTGTGATCTTACACATAGAAAGTTACCAGTTATTTAAAAATGGAAACTGTGCTTCTAGAGTGAGTGGGAGAAATAGCTCTCCACACCCTTAACTCGGCCTTCCCCAATAAGCTTGGGTAACCTAGAAACTGGGACAATAAAGACAACTGTGGTGAAAAGTCTACTTTAATGTTTTTAACTGAACCCAAAGCATCATCCCAGACGTGCCCAGAATGTAGGGTTGCATGATTTCAGCTAGATTACTTAGATGAAGTAGCTCAGGAAAGAGAATAGCAGTTAACCCTTACTGCAACCTTAGGGGTCCTTGAAAACTTGATTGGTTTGTAGGGGGTAAGCTTGTCTATTCAGTTATCTGTGCAAATAAAAACAGCTTCAGTGGGTATATAGAAAAAGTATGGTTCTCCATGGTGTGAGGCATTAAAGACAAATTTAAAAGAAGATGCGTTAAAATGAAAACAAATCTTACTGGAGAGATGGTTCAGTGATTAAGAGCAGTTGCTGCACAATCAGGAGTTTAGATCCTAGCACCCATATATGTGTCAGGAGAACATGACAGCCTGCCTGTAACCACAGCACGCAGTGCCTGGAGGATCATTGGCTAGCTAGACTAGCAGAATCAATGAGTTCTGTGTTGCCTCCTCACACAGGTTTATCTGGAGACCTGATTGGGATAGTCATGGGGAACCAGTAACACCAAGAGAACCGTCAATTCATGCTCATTCTCACCAGCCCTCCTGATTGATAGCTGCATCTCTTAAGTCATTGTGAAGAAGCACTGCACTAAGAACATTACAAACACCATCTCAGTGCCTCCTGCCTTCCACAGAAGTGTCATAACATTTCTGAAAGTGGAAAAAAATCTCTTCTGCCCAACTGTCACAAATTTTGACTTCCCTTCCTAGGCCCTGATCACAAAAGGAGCAGCAGGGGCCACCGTGTGATATCCTCCTGAGCACCAAGTGGTCCCAGGACTCCCAAATAAAAACTAATTCTACCAACTCTTCAGTGTACTTATCACTAAGACCAGAGCGGTTTGGGTGGAGGTAGAAATGTAAGATACCAGCATCTATCACTAGTGGTGGAGATAAAGGAGGAACAGGGCAGGATCTATGGGGAAAGTAGAGGAGACTCAGAATATCTTTATAGATCCACATAGTGTTTGGAGTCAGTTCGTGCTATGAATCAATACCAGCTGATTGATTTTGACATAGGGTCTGGTTATATCCCAATCTGGCCTGGCACTTGATTTGTCAAAGATGACCTTGACTTTCTAACCTCCTGCCTTTACCCAGACTGCTGAGATCAAAGCATGTGAACACACTTGGCTTATTTGGTGTTAAGGAGAAGACTTAGTGCTTTCGTGCATGCTAGGCACACTGTTGCCTGAGCTGTGTCCTGAACACCAATTTTAATTCAATTTTACCTTTATTCTCAAATACACTCTAACTCAATGGTTTTTTTAAAGAATCATTTGGACACTTACTCAAATGCAGATTCCCAGTGCCATTTTCCTAAAGAACCAGACTCAGGAATCCACAGCTCAGGGTTTTGCATATTTAACAGCCACCTAATCCAGTGGCTCACACCTAGTTTGCCAAAGCTAACCCAACCTACATTGTTCAGTTCATTCCTCACTTTCTCACTCAAGACTGCTCCACTTTTCTCAAGCTACCATTTTTCCCTCGTTATCGCTATACTTTGTAACAAGTCACACCAAAATTTAGCAAGTAAAGCAACTCACACTATCTCTATAGCGCCTATGAATCAGGAATTCAGGAGGAGTCCTGTGATAATAGCAGTTAGGGCTTCACTCTTTCTGACAACACAATTCAATCCATAACACATAGCTCCTGCTGGTGTATACTATTAGTCACAGAGCCAATGTGGGAGGAAAAAAAACAGGGAAAACCAGGAAGTGGGGTGACTGGAGGACATCTTGGAGGGTAGCCAGCGTGGAGCTTGCTGCTTCACTGAGAAAAGGAAGTAATCAGGCTGCTTTGCCTCGATCTCTCTCTCTCCTCGCCATTTTCAAATACTTGTTCCTTAACTCCTTGTCTTCTTTTACTTAGCTGTCTTAAATGACTTAATATGTTCCCAAGGCTCTTAAGAGTTTTTGCTTGTTTTTGTTTTAGAGAAAGGATTTGATTATGGAGCCCAAGCTAGACTCAAACTCAAAATCCTCCTGCCTCAGCTTCCCAAATGCTGGAATTATAAGTATGCACCACTGTGCCCAGCTCCAAGACTTTGGTTCTTCTGTTTTATTGTTATTTTGTTCTGTTTCGTTTTGTCATCTTTTTAAGACAGAGTTTCCCTATGGCCCCAGCTGGCCTGGAACTGACTATGCAGACCAGGCTGGCCACAATCTCACAGAGATCTGCCTGTGTCTGCCTCTGGAGAGCTAGGATTAAAGGTGTGCTGTGCCACCACACCCGGCTTGTTTCATTGGTTTTTTAAAAAATATTTTTATTTTATTTATTATTCGTTGTGGGCGGGGGTTGTGAGTACAGGCATGTAGAGGTCAGAGAACAACTTTTGGAAGTTGGTTCGCTCCACTGTGAGTTCCAAGGATCAGACTCAGATTGTCAGGCTTGCACGGTAAGCACTTTTACATGCTGAGCCTCACCAGCTCTATTTTTGAAACAGTCTTATGGTGCCAGGCTGACCTTTAAACTTGCTGTATAGCAAAGGATGATCTTGAACTTCTAATCCTCCTTCCTCTAACTACCAAGGGCTAGGATTTATAGGGTTGCACTACCAGACCTAGCTAAGACTTTGATTCTTAATGTACCTGATTCTAGACCTCAGTCCACCTTATTTTTTACAGCCCCACCCTCTCTTCTTACCACTTTAATCCTTAATTTTTCTAATAGTCATAGTTTTTACTTTTAAACTTAAAACAGAAAAATCCTTTAGCCTATGTAGCTGGCCCTGTCACTCATTCCCTATTAGAGGAGTTCATTGGTCCTTACTCTCCTGGGTGCCACTTTCTCAAGCTCTCATTCACCTACTGACAAACCTCTTACCTACCTTTCCACTAAAACTTCTCAAAGTTCACCTTCAACTTTGTTGGGGTCCTCTGTTATGCAAGTAGAAGTCTCTTCACGTCCAGATAGCTCACGAGCTCGGAAACCATGTGCTGCAGATTCATTTCATAGCAGAGTGCCTTCCTGGCATCCTCCCTGACTCTTCCTTTAAAGTGCTCACCACAAATACATGCCCTCCGGCACAGGAGCTACCAGGTTTTTAATCAGGCGTTGTCTGATAGCCTGATAGAAGCCCACCGCCCTATGTAAATGAGGCATCCTAAAAGTACCTATCAGCTAAGACTTCTTCTGCTGTCTCTACACTATAAATAGTCCTAGTTTTACCCCAATAAAGTTGGAGCTGGAGCTGAATCACTGAGATCTGAGCTGAGTCACTTGTCTTGAGCTGTAACACTAAATCCTGTGATCCAGTCTCCCCGGGGGGCGCTATTCCTCCGTCACCGACTCACAGACACCCTGGCTTTCGCCGTTCCTCATACGCTTCCCGTGTGGTCCAAATGGCCAGTGGACCTCACATCCTGAGGAAGGTATATGGGTGAAATAGGGACGGGATCGACTGAGTAGACCTCAGTAGCGGAGGAGCTTTCACTGCCCAGGAGTGCGCGCTGGGACCCTGAGAGCCCAGCGCATGCTCGCCTATACAACTTAATTGCAAAATCCAGTGGTGTTAATAATCATCATCCTACTTCCTAAAAACTGCCATTCCTCTTACTATGAACTGCCATAGTGCTTGGAGCTTAGATTTATTAGCCTATTTGGCCCTTATATAACTCTCTAATATTAGTTAATAGTCTCAGCTGGTGAGTGAATTGAAACCAACTCTGTGATTCTGAAAGATCTTCCCAGAGTTTGTTACTCAAGGTAGATACCAATAAATCTATAGCCTGGCTGAGAGAGATAGGTCTGCAATTAAGAGCCTTTCTTGTTCTCACAGAGGACCAGAGCTTGGTTCCAAGCACCCATGTCAAGTGGCTCATACCTCACATGTAACTCCAATTCCAGGGATCTAACACCTCTTCTCAGGCCTCAGGCACCC